TAATGAAATATGTGATGAATATAATAGTGAATATGTAATTAATGAGAATTATATGTTACTAAAAATTTATTCATAAGGATTTGAAAGACTTTAGAGAAGGGAAATGAAAAAGTTGACTTAGACTATAACATATGGTTAAGTCAAATGAAGGTAATTGAATGGAAAATACAACAAATTACATTCCAATCACGAAATATCCTAGACTGGATGGTACAGTATCATATTGGTAATTTTTTGTATAAGTTTTTGTATGGTAAAGCCGCCGGACTACCATATCAATCTACTACTGTTCGAACTGAAGGAAATCGTCAGAAATTAATTTATTTTATGTCTCGAAGTATATGACGAGTAAAAGAAAAACTTGTCTTACAATTTTCCAATATTGCCGATAGCGATCTAATGGATGATGTTCAAAATATACCCTATTTTAGAATGTTGCTATATGGTAATAATTTTTAATTGATCATTCACTATCATAATTAGTATTATGCTCATTACAATTACCATTACAATAATAATAGGAACCAATCTGAAGATTTTATACTATGACAAACCAAAGTACAAGTTTGGAGTAATCACCACATTGATGAACATACAATTGCCACTTCATTCTTAAGTTGATAAAAATTTTGTAAAAAACTATTTGATCAGTTTGGTAATTTTTCGATGTGGAATTCTTGGAGCAATCGAAGGAATGAAAAAACTATTTGAGAGATGTAATGATCATATGATTGCATAGCAGAACAATTTATACATTATTTGTAATGATGATGATGAAAAAGAGAATATTTATCCTTTGTCACAAAGAATGAAAAGGGTAAAACTTAATAATGCTATATATTAGTTTTAATAGTAAAAAGAGTGAAACTTAATAATGTTAATTTTAATAGTAAATAAATAATATCAAGATCTTCCTGTAAATTAGCATAAACATTGTGAAATATTGATTGCCAAATAAAGTCGTATCCCAAAGAATTATTTTATTTAGTAGTGTAATATAACATGCAAAAAATCACACAAATATCGATCATAGAGTTACATGTATTATAAGACTTGATTATAGGATATCAAAACTTTTAGATGCTAGATAAATTCCTTAATTTTTCGTATCCTTTCTGAAATGACAATTTCTGGGTTTTGGTCATACCATACCTCAATAAGAAAAATTCCACTATCCAGACAAATGCATCTTTTTTGCCGATCACGATTAACAATATCTTCGAGTTTCTTAATATTTTTATACCAGCTAGTACTATGAAGCCGATACTGAGCCTCTTGCATCTCTAATACGATTTGATATTTTTGGAAGAAAGCATCAAACTCTAATCCATTCAGGAAAGGAGGATGATATTTGATAATAGATTTCTCATTAAGAATTTCCTTAGCTATCTGAATGCATCTGATTTGGAATTTGCGATTTTTCTTGGATTTCAGTTTTTTTTCATATTCTTTTATAATTGATTTATTTCTTACATTCTGAGCCTTGATATTATGAATTAAAGCCTCAATACTCTCAAGATTGTCTGGGTTTTACAAACTAAGATGTTTTAATTTAATTTTACTATATAACCCTCAAATTCTGTGTAATATTTTTTGGTAGATTTTAGAAATTTGACTTTTTTGGTTTCAAACTCAGCTTTCTTAGCCTTAAGCTTAGCAATCTTAGCCTCAAGTTCAGTGGCACGCTGTCTCAATAATTCAAGTTCAAATGTGTTAGCTTCGTTAACTGACATGATCAATAATAATAATAATTTTATATATGAAAGGAATTGTTTAATGTTCTGAAAAATTTTTATTAATACATACGAAAAAATAAATACAAATGTTTAGGACTTTGCCTGAGATATATGACGTCTATGCAGTAGTCTTGTAGAGACCCTCTGCTAATGATGGTGGACTTATACTGACTATTTTTTTCTTAATTATCTTTTCTATATAACGTTTTTTATTTGCAGATTAATAACTAAAAATTAATATCAGATTCATCTTATAAACTGAAAGTAAGAAGATTAAATTAATTATTAACGACACCCTCATTCTCTGTCTTCAAACTTGAAAACGATTCCATAAAAGTATACAACTTTATATTCATTTCATCAAACTTTACATTGAACTTTTTATCCATTTCATTGAACTTTCATTAAACATTTTATCCATTTCATTGAATTTTTTATCAAGTTTTTTATCCATTTCATTTAGCTTCTTGTTTAAATCAACCAACTTTTAGTTAATACTGACTATTTTTAAACTAGATAATCTTGATGTTTCCAGTTTTTTACAATTCTTCAGGCTGTACTAGATAGGATCATTAACCTTTTTATACATAGCAGAATACATGGTATGGCCATTTCTATCATACTTTCGTTCCATTTTATCTACTACCTCTTCAGTAATATGTAGATAAAAATGACCATGACATTCTACTACATTTTCGTCTTTTGATAATTCAGACTCTCATCTTCTAAAATTAATAGCAAAGCATTCTACTAGATAAGGTTTTTTACAAATTGTCAGCAAGAATTTGTTATCACATCTCCCAAGATCCATTTCCAAAATGATGTATCTTTAATCAGACTTCTGTTAATTCTATGGTTAATAAACGAAATAAGAAGATTTCTAACGTGTTTTTTTCGTAAAAGGATAATATATTGATCATTTTTTTTCATTGTTCTCACGTGGCGTTCATTTTCAGCATACCAATTATAATTAACAGATGCAGTATTTCGCTTGCCCTTATTGCAATAGACATCTGATTCTATATAATTTATATGATAACTTAGACCAGTTTTTTTTTGTAAGAGGATTATTACTTAAATTATTATATGAGTCTGAATTTATATTATCATAACAATCAAATAAATACACACTTAAAACGCAAGTTGAATAGTATTTGCAGTAATTTTTCGAAGATAAGAAGTTAACGAAGTCTTAAAAAATGAGGGCCTGTATAAACTTCTCATGCCATTAATGTATTCTCAAGCAATCTTTATTATAGCTTTTTTCTCTTCATCATTTTTAGCTTCTTTATAATATAGCATATCAAACCAATATTTCAGATAAATATGAAGTTAGAACTCCCAATATGGATGTTCAACTGAAACTATTTCAATTCTATATGATTCTTTAAGGAGACTATGCTTTTTGTCATCAATAAAATCCAAACTTATTTTTCCTATAGATGCTAGTAACTTAACTATTTTTTTCAGCGAATCTTAGATATTCTCAATAGTTCTAACCTTAATCATCAGTTTTCTATCTATTTTCAATGTATTTTCAATAGGCGTAGAATATGATATTTTTGAGTATTTCACTATTTTAAGCAGAATATTCAGTTTTTTCAGCAGGAACTTAATTAATAAATGAAAATGATTATTAATTTTTAGCAAGCAACCAGTATACTCACGTTAAGCATTTTTCTTAATAAATAGACGGAATAAGAGATAAATTAGAATATACTTGCAAAAAATAATGTGAATATATGAGATTCACATATCACACAACCTTATTCATTAGCAATAATTCTATTGGCACATAATATCCTAGTTCTAGAAGAACCCTCTAAGTCATCCCCGTGATTTGAAAAAAAAGAAATAATAACATATGCATTCTGCGATGATATGATCTATATATATAATTAATACAATTTATATAAGCATTCAAAATAAAAAACACATGATTTCTTCGACCTCTGGTCATTCAAATTTTGCCAAGAAAATTTTTTATTGCAAAAATAAATACAAAAATCAGGACTTTACCTGGGAATACATGACATTTCTATGCTAATGATGGCAAACTATTTTTACATAATTATTTTTTCGAGCGATACTTCTCTATTCTAGCCTTTTTCTTTTTCATGCTATTAAGTAATGTTTGATATTCTATGGAGTCTTTTTCTAAGACCTTCTTATTAAATTCAATAGTAATGGGGATTTCACTCGTCTGAGAAATTTTACCTGGAGAATATAGCAAAAAATAGCATATTGGACATTTGTATAATTGGCTGTTACACAAAATTGTGTAACATCGCTTTTTATACAGTTTAAAGTAATACGATCGGTT